ACACATGAAAGTTGATCATTCTTGTAGTGGAAGTAAAAAATATTACTGTCTCTTTTGTAAAGCACTACGATCAAAATTTGCAAGACATTTAGAACGACTTCATCGTAATGAAAAAGATGTTCAGAAATTCATTAATTTACCAAAAGGATNTATTGAACGTAAAAAGATAATTGAAACAATTCGACGGAAAGGAGAATTTGTATTTAACACAAATAAAACAGTAAACGATNGCAAGCTGCACGTCGTTAGACGACCAAATAAAAAATTTACCAGGATAGCTACTCACTATANAGTGTGTGCAAAATGCTTCGGATTTTTCTCTACAAACACTTTGCGAAATCATGTTCGAAAGTGTTCAAATNAAAACTACAGTAAAAATCGAACGATATCAGTCCTTGGACGGACACTTCTCACAAGAATTAACGAAATAGCTTCTCAAACTTTGAAAAAAGTTGTTTTTCCAGTATTAAAAGAAGACATTATTACACGTCTTATTAGATATGATGAATTNGTTATACGATATGGTAACAAACTTTGTATGAAATATAAGCCACAGCACCAGCATGATATGGTGCGAAATAGACTACGAACACTTGGAAGATTTTTGAAAGCACTAAAAGAAATAAACAACGAAATTACAGACTTTTCGTCATTATATCAACCAAAATATTATGATAATTGTATTGAAGCAGTATATAAAGTAGCTCAATATGACCCAGAGACTCAGAGATTTAATGCTGCTTCTACAGNTTTTCAATTAGGCACCTTATTAAAAGAAGTAGGTGAATTGTGGCGATCCCAATGTATTAAAAACCACGATCCTGTTAAAAAAGCTTTAGTTGAAGATTTTCTTTCTCTTCGTAAAGAAGATTATGGCTATTCAGTTAATAAAACCGTAATGGAAACAAGAGCACATATNGCACGACAGAAAACAGAAATCGCTCCAAGTATAAAAGATATAAGAACGCTTTATGATTACGTAAATGCTAAGAGACGAGAAGCTTACACTCTTTTAAAAGAAACCTTTTTATACAATACATGGTTACTTTTAGGTGAATGTACATTAATTTCTATCCAAATATATAACCGAAAACGTGCAGGCGAAATGCAAANAATATTATTAGAAGATTTTTATACTTATGAAAGTTTAAATGAGAAAAGTGATCCGGATCTTTTCNAATCTCTTTCTACTTCAGCGAAAGAACTTGCACGCAAATACGTGCGCTTTCAGATTAGNGGAAAACTTGGTCGTCCTGTACCAGTATTGTTACATTTCGATCTTTTAAAGTCTATAGAATTATTTATACAATATCGAGATCAAGCTGAAGTACATCCAAACAATCCTTATGTCTTTGGTATAAAAGGNTTTTATAAATANAGATTTAAATATTTAAGAGCNTGTGATATTATGAGGAACTTTGCAAATGAGTGTGGAGCTGATCATCCTGAACGATTGCGTGGTACTCTTCTTAGAAAACATATTGCAACGAATTGTCAAAAATTAAAATTAACTGAACAAGAAGTATNTGAATTAGCCAATTTTATGGGACATAAAGAAAACATACACAAACAATATTATAGACTACCTCAAAAAGAAGCTGACATTCTTAATATCAGTAAATATCTTGAAGCTGCATTAGGTGCAAATGATATTTTAGAAGATGGCACTAATAATGATGACGATGACAGTAATGATAATGATGTCAGTTTAGATAGTGCTACTGCTAAATATGATTCTTCTACTAGTACTCTCGATAGTGATACNATTCCGGGTATGTAAAATAACAATTNTTATAGCTTTTAAACCTTACATTATAAACAAATAATTATTACACAAACGTTGACAACTATGTTATGTTATGTGTAGAATTTTATAGCAATCTCAGTTTAAAACTATAACGAGAAAAATCAAACAATTACAATTTTTAAACAATTCAAATAACATTAAGTATAACAATATTACATATAGTTGTGGTAAAAATAAAAATTTGGATATTGCACTAAAATACTCATGAATCTTATTTTTATTTTGTCTTTTTATCATATATATATATATATACAGGGTGTTCCAGAATTGCCGTACAATCTCTCGTAGGCAGGTAAAAGGAGTAACACTGAGTCGAAAAGTCCTGAACCATTTTTTTCTATTACTTATAATAAAAGAGTAATTATTGAATAAATCAGGCCAATCAGCGCCGATCTTTAGCCAGGCGCACGTCAGTGCATTTCGACTCAGTTTTACTCCTTCTACTTGCCGACGAGAGATTGTACGGCAATTCTGGAACACTCTGTATACAGGATGTCTGAAAATTTTTGACACAACCGAAGTACGAAAGTAGATTAGATTAATCTGAACCGTAAAGTCATGTATCATTTTGCAAAATTCACAATACTTATTAAATGATTAGTTAATACATGTGACCCCTAANGAGCGCGTGGTCCGGACACAGTGTTGTTAGACGGAACGCTTTTTGTCGCGCATGCGCGACGCATCTAGTTATGATTCCAGTGACTACCGTCCGCCGCCAGTGATGTACGCTGTATATATAGTACGTAGTGTTAGGTGCTGGCGAAAAATGTGACGGGCTACATCAAATAAAGTTATATTTNATGAGTACATTTGAAAATTTTAAGAATAGTTTTACATTTCTTATTTAAAACTTATCGAAACATGTTTTTAATTATTAAAAAGTGATAGAAAGTAAAACAAAGCACTAAAAAATAATACAATAATAAGAAGGAAAGCGTATGTAAATTACCTATTTGTAAACCATATGTATTTATAACTTTAAATATTTTTTTACTATAATAAAATATTATAATAAAGTGATAATAATATAAAAAATGAGCTAGAAAAGAAAAGGATATTTAAATAATTTTCAATTACATATTAATATTAAAAATAAAATACTTTATTTGGCAGAATCACAAAGAATACCAACATTTGTTGCAAGGG